TTCTACAGCCATCGGTTTTTTTTTACAGCTCCAAAAATGAGGATTTAGAAAATATGGGTTTTACAGCCACTTTTTTTTTGGACGTAGCTTTAAAAAATAAAGATACAGCATGATTGGTAAACAATTTTTTAGGATGTAACTTTAAGAAGAAAAAACTAAAGTACGATTGGTAGACAATTAAGGGTTTAAATAAAAAAATGGTTGTAAAAGCTACTTACAGCCCAAACAATCATGCACTTAGTTAAAACTTCATAAAAACAAAGTTTTGAGAGAAAAAAATATATATGGAAGGATTTTAAAACAAGATTGTGACGAATCTATGGAAATATAAAATCAAAAGTATTATGAATTATTCTATCAATCACTAAAGTATTTTTATATTTTAAATATATTTACCGAAATTATTTAATTTTAAAATGATATTTAATTTTTTTTTAATTGTCCATTTTAAAATAATTTAGAGGTTCATTTTTATTTCATTGAAAATTACATAAAGTTTCTATAAATTTGATTATTTGTATAATTAGTATAAAACATTTTATTTTCATAAAATTAGTCGATTTAATTAAAACTATAGCACATATCTTAGATTTACCAATCATGTTTTTATTTTAAAATAGTTACAGCTACAACTTATATTTGTACAGCAAAAAAGTCTGCAGTGAAAAAATCTACAGCAAAAAAAATATACAGCTACAGCCAAAACACTTACAGCAAAAATTCTACAACAATTAATCTACAACTACAACCGAACCAATCACCCACTCAGTTTTAAGAAGTCTACTGTCCGTTCCCAGAATCTCATAATTAACAATAAATAGAGTAAAGTTTCTCAAAATTTAAGTATTGAGAAGCTGACATGTGTCGATCTATTTTTTTGACATTTTCTTGCTTAGCTTATTTATGAAAGAGAAAAGTAAAAAAAAAAAATAATTTTAACAATTAATTCTAATAATTTAATAGTTAATTGCAATGTAAATTAATTTTAACATGTTATAATTAAGGAATTAAAGTCTAACTATTAAGGAATTTTAACATGTGAATCAAAGATCGAAGCTCTGGAAATGGAGACAAGAACTTGTGAGGCTGTTGTTCAAACGAAACTGAGTCGTTTGTCTGCGTGTCGTCCATGTCATTGTCCATGGTGATCGAAACTCTGGAAATGGAGACAAAAATTTGAATTAATTTGAGCTTCGGGTTTAAATTGTCCAATGTTCAAAGATCGGGTCCAAAAAGGCCCGATGGCAATACTTCTGGTCCAAAAAGGTCGTTTTCCTTTGTCTACGTGTCGTCCATGTCACTGTTCCGTTAACGTTGACTAACGGTGACTTTGTCAAAGTCTAAATCAACAATAAAATCGTATA